AGTCATAGAGTTTAAAGGCAACGCTAGCAGATACTGAGGAGATGGATGGAAACTTCTGACTCTGAAGAACGTAATAAAATAAAATAAAATCTCTCGTGGTGTACTTCCTGGATGACAGCCATGCCTGCACAATGATAAAATAAGTGATCAATGAAACCATTATTGACAGCCTGCTGTTGCCCCGTTTGTATGTTTGACAGTAATCCATTCAGATTTTTCACTGATGAACATATGATCCCTCACGGTGGGGCTGCAGATGGACATTTGGTCTCACACTTTAGAGCTGTAGAGATAAAGAGGGATGAGATTTTTTTTAAAGACTATTTAAAGCTAAATTAGAGTTAAAGGACCAATCTGTTGACTTTACACTGGAGAGAGAGGCTGCATCATAAAGTGAGGACTGAGCAGATGAAATAAATGTTATTAAGCTGATTCATGGTAAATGTGGATCCAGCATTTGTGGACACTGCTTACATTTCTTTAACATATCTCTGGATGGATGGATGGATGGATGGATGGATGGATGGATGGATAGATAGATAGATAGATAGATAGATAGATAGATAGATAGATAGATAGATAGATAGATAGATAGATAGATAGATAGATAGATAGACAGATAGATAGATAGATAGATAGATAGATAGATAGATAGATAGATAGATAGATAGATAGATAGACAGATAGATAGATAGATGGATAGATGGATGGATGGATTTGGTTCATTTTTGTGGGTTGTAATCACTGCGTCAGGCGAAGTGTGAAAATCAGGTTCATTACTTCTGCATTGTGCGTCTGATGTCCACATTTCTTCAGAACGTTCTGCTGCAACTCAACTTCCATTTTATTTCTGTAGAATTAAGAAAATGAAAGAACTAAATCATGTTCTGTGTTCTGGCAATGTGAATACTTCAGCTGGAAAAAGTGGACACTCCAAGTTGACTGTCCTCCAAATCAAACTGCAGCAATGCTCATTTGAGAGTGATTAGAAGATTCAGGCACATCTACCTTAACTCAGTGGGATTAATATGAACTTTATGGGGATAAAGTCAATTCAGTTGTGTGTTAACTGTTGAAACAATTCACTGCAGGGCTCTTTTTTGAGCATCAATCTTTTTCAGTTAGAAAACGTCTAATGAAATGATACTCAACCAACAACCCAGTCAGAGGAATCAGTTCACCCTCTACCATCCAAGGTATTAGTTATCAGGCTGAAGCTGTTGAGACAGAGGAGGGACTTCAGCTCAAGGTGACTAAAATGATCAAGACAATTTCATGAAGTCACCTCAACATCAATTTAGTTTTAAATGTAGAAATTTGAGTGAGTTTAAATTGCACACAATGCTGAGAAGAGACCAGTTCAACCATTATCACGTCAAGCCAACCCATCAACAAAAAATGATGTGTGCAACTTAAGGTTTATCTAATCCAGCAAATTAGATTTATTTCTAAATTCTTGCAGTCATGCATTTAATAAAGCGGCAGAAGCGGCTGATTACAGCAGCATGACGGAGATTAGGCCGTGTTCAGAGGCAGGATTAGTGTAAATGAGGGGAATGGGTTACAGAAACACAGCGTGCGTGAGGCGTGCGCGTCAGCCGGCTGTGCGTAAACGCGTTGGTGCGCGCTCCGAGCGTCTCCCCGCTGCTCCGTGAAGTGACATTTCCCCGGTGGAGCTGCGCGACGCCGGCGGAGCGCGGTGCAATATCCTCACACTGTGAAGCACCCCGGGGAGACGGAGCTGTTGCCAAAGCGCTGAGTGCACAACATACAGGAACTGCGACGGTGGAGAGAGAGAGGAGGAGGGAGGAGAGGAGGAGGGAGGAGAGGAGGGAGGAGAGGGAGGGAGTTTGCAGCGACACCAAAGTGCGCTATCAGCTGCCGAAGGCTGGACGGACGAGCAGTGTGGGACTCTGATAGAGAGGGGGACGACAGAGAGGGTGGAGGGGGCGAGGCGGAGGACTCCCTCGACGTTTTGTCGGCGGTGACGGCGGTACAGATGGGCGCGACTCTGCTCAGCTGAGCCGGACACTGATCCAGCAGCAGCGGCCGCCACATCCAGAGCTGAGCGCAGCTGGACAGCCCGCATCCTGCGAATGACACTCGGCTATCAAGTAAGTTCAGATTCCAGCTTCCTTCATCTGTCTGCGCGTTCGGTAACGTTTGGTCCGTGAAATGCTTCGGCCTCCGTGTCACTCAGTGAGTCACAGGAGGAAGCAGTTGTCATCATCTGTCGCTCTTGTGTGTTTTGATGGGAGTGTCGGCAAACTTTTACAGCCTTCATGCTGTCAGCCTTCATCCTGCAGCCTGCACGGTGGCAGCCTGTAGGGCTGCTATGGCTGCAGCACCACCCCATGGCTGCATTCACTGAGCAGAAAGGAGCATTATGGGGTGTGACTTAACTGTAGCCTAGTTACAGCTTTATGTGTGTGTACACCTCAGTCATATGTGGGCTGTTTGCTCTGGTCAGTGAATAGCAGCCTTTCAGACCTCTGCAGAGCCGCTGGTGGAGGCTGCTCTGTTAAAGCCTTGTGTTCCCTGCAGGCCTGCTCCTCTCCTCTCCTCTCTCTCTCATGCACACTGCAAACTTGTTTTCTTGAGCAAGAATATAATGAGCTGAATCACAAACCTACAGCCAGCATAAAGGATTATGTAAGAGAAAGTAGCAGCTGCATGAAAGTTGGGCAGCAGAGGATTTCACTCCAGCTGCTGTTCCTTCTCCTCCAGAGCAGACGGTGGGGTCTCCTCCCTGCTCGGAGGTCATCCTCCCCTGAGTGAACGTGTCGGCAGACTCAGTCAGGAGGATTTTCTGCCGCCTCACAGCCATTCTGCTCCTCACAAGAAAATCACAGAAGGAGCTGCAGCACGCGGCGTTTATCGGCACATCGAGCACCTCCTGCACCAGCCAGTGCTTTAAGACGAGTTCCTTTCAGATGCTTCAGGTTTGCTTCACTGCCTGAGAGAGTGTAGATGACATTTCCATAGAGCTCCAATCAGCCCCTCCATCTCTCTCCCTCCTACACCTCTCTTCCTGAAACAGTGTTTACTTGATGTCTATCTTCATGGCAGTCCAAATACCAGAGAGGGGAAAGGGAAATGGAAGGAGGGGTCACCATGCAAATCCAGTGCTGCTGTGGCGCGCCGTGCATGTGTTAAACAAATCAACAAGCCTCCGGGTTCACAACAACCACAGTGGTTTAAACGTTGCTGTAATGTTCTGATTGTCAAAGTAAAGCTTTTTGTTCAGTGTTGATCTTCATCAGGTTCATTCAGTGAGTCACAAACATTAACGAGGCTTTACAACACAGAGCTGCAGGTGTGAGTTCATTCACTGATTAGTCGGTTAACACAAGATTAATCTGTGACTTTTCGGTCACTTGTGAACTGTTAAAGTCATTTTATATGTAGAATATCTTTTCAACAGTCAATCCAACCATTTTATTTGTGGAATATTTTCGGTTAAATGACATTTAATGACATAACTCTGAAGCCTTTTCCCTCCTTTTCATGTTCTAGACCAACTAATGAATCAAGAAAATACTTTGCAAATTAGTTAATGGTGAAGATCCTCAGTAGCTGCAGCCCGAATACAACGGTCAGCATGTATTTTAATACAGTTTTCTGTAATGTCCCCGTTGTGTCGTTGTTTAGACGATAAAAAGCATCACAACAGAGCAGCACAGGTGGACAGAGCAAAAAAACCTGAAGACTAAAGTAAGCTGAAGCCAAAAGAATGAAAAGTTTGACTACAAGTTTAAAAAAAAGCTTCTTAAGTCTGAACACTTCCTGGTTTCTTTCCTCCTCTGTGACAGGAAACTGAATGTCTGTAAGTTGTGGACGAAACAAGACATTTAAGGACGTCATCTGTTTCTTTGCTCGTTTTCTAACATTTTATAGATTAAACTGCTGATCAGCTAGTTGAGGAAATGTTCTACAGATGAATCCACGGTGAGAAGAGCCGTTAGCTGCAGCGTTGGTGTCCAACAGGCCCGAGTCTGATCTCTGGACATTACAGAACAGAAAGCTGGAGCAGGTGTGTCTGGGGGTTAGTTTCAGGTCTGTGGTGCTTAGAAAGCCAACTGCTGCTTCTCCGTGTTACCTTATGGCCCCGAAGGACATGAGCAGATCTTCCCCAGATGACCGGAGAGGTCTGTGTTTTATTCTCCAGCTGTGAAACTGGGAACTTGACTCCTGGACACACAGAACGCCGGTGCAGAGTTCTGGTGCTGATCGACTTTTCTGGTCCAAGAAAAGACTCCAGCAGCTCAGTTTGAAATCAGAATGCTTTACTAGTAGCTTCAGATGCTGTTTGTGTTTTCGTGAGTCTTAATGAACATGTTAGCTCTTATTTTAGCTCAATAAACAGACCAGATCGTTACCTAAAGACCACTAAACGTGTCTTTTCTGATGTTCTTCGTGTCTGTGCCAGTCGGCGCCATGCTGCCCCGAAACCTGCGAACAGGTGGCTGTGACCTGCCGGGGGTGGAGTCTAGCGAAGTGCCTCTCATTGGCTACCGACCTTTACCACCTGACAGGGGGACCCCGAGCAACCAATCAGGGAGGAGGGCCATCGGCGATGAAGTGGACGCTCCACAGGTGAGTGTGTTTTGGTCTTACCTCCCAGAAACACGTCCATCACGCAGCAGAAGTTCTGGTAGAGCAGAGCCAGACCACGTCACGCTGTCTGGGGTTCAGGATGTTTGAGTATCGACAGCCTCCCACTTTACTGGGTTTCCTGATGTTTGCACAATAAAGTAATGTGACGGAGCCGGGAGAGGATCAGGAGAAGTTTTCATTTTGCCGTAGCTCCCCTGGTCGTCACCGCTAACAGCGTTCAGAGCAGCGTCCCATGAAACCGGCGGCGCCGCGCTCAGCTACCAGCTTCTTGAATAAACAGCAGATGCGGTCGGCTGGTTTTCAGAAAAGCCTGAGGGAATAAAGTCAGAGTGATTCAAAGTGAAGGCAGAGATGAAGATGGTCTGTGTGTGTGTGTGTGTGTGTTTGTTGTTTTTCACCATGGCGATGCAAACGCTGCTGTTTTCCATAAACGTCATAAATTCACCAAGTTACGTGAAAATGACACGAATAAAGGTTCACAGGCCCGATTACACATTAAATTACTATTATTATTATTATTAGTAGTAGTAGAAGTAGTAGAAGTATCCCTCATGTTGTTTATTAATACTCTGAGCATCATAATCAGCCATGTGTTTAGTTTTACGTCAAATATCAGGTGTTGATGGATTATTGGCTGATTATTGAATCTGATCATCAGAGTTTTCTGATGATTTGCTTTTCTTTCTTTTTTCTTTTTTTAAAATCCATTCTAGATCAAAATAAATTTAGTTAAAAATGTGCTGCTTTGGCTTCGATGCTGCCCCGTTATCCTTCTGTAGACGTCACTCGAGCGATGTCCTGATTGGTTGTTCGTCATGATGAATAGCCAGTAAACGATAACGGATAAATGTTGAAAACTTGTCCTATGATTTAACATATGTGAAAAACAAACAAACAAACAAACAAAAGAGGCATTTCAATGAAGCTTCGTGTTGCGTTATTCTAAATTTTGACAACGTAATCTTAATATTTACTACAGATTATATGGGTTCAAAATGTCAATAATCAATCTCCTTGATTATTAGCGATCAGTGTCGACCCTGAAAAACCCACATCGGTCGGTTTCTAACATATAGACACATACATATGGAATAAAAGGCCTTAACGATGTAGTTTTACAACATACCTGTTCATCTACTTCAGTATTTGAAGCCTGATCAGCATTAATGTTGTAACAGCTCTGGGGCAGGTAAAGGTGATCCATCAGTCAGTCCAGCGCCGTGATCCAAACTCAAATCCTATCAAATATGTTAAACGTAGTTCAGGCAGTGTGGCTGGAGGATGAGTCCTGCTGACTGTGACATTTCCCTCAGTGCCACTATGAGGGCTTCACTCGTGTTTCCTTGTGAAACACATCAACAGTGGCTGGAACCGGCTGTGTACACATTCATATTCCATACAGGAGGATTACAGTAACCTGGGTGAACTACTAACGTTTCCTCTGGTGCAAACAGGGTCACAGTTTGTGTCTAGCACCTGATTCTATGACCATAAACACCTGACGACACACCGCCCTTCAGCCGGAGCGTACCTGTGATTTAGGGCTAATTAGGAAGCGTGAGCTAGCTGGTGGACATGATTCTGTGTGTTACCGTGTTTGCAGTGGCTTTGTGAGGTTCTTAGCGTGTTTGCATTAGCAAATAATGTGATGGCAGATCCTCAGGTGGTTGTTCACTGAAGTGTCTTTGTGCTGAACCCAGTTCACCAGAACTCTTTCAACCAGCTCAGATGTTCTTTTTGTTTTTTTAAAGCGAGGTATTTTAAAGTTACTTCCTCTGGGTTCTTCTACAGGAAGGTGTGTTGTTGTGTGGAGTAAACTGATCAGCATGTAGGTCAGCGCTGATACGCTCTGTAGTACGGGCTGAAGCTGAACTAACGTGAGGAAGTTACGCCGTTAATGGCGCAGGTGAGTTTCCCACGAACTTTCCCCTCTGTTAATGTTTACCGGCTCGATGACAGAGACGCTGGTTGGGCCTCAACAGAAGCCTGGTTACAAAGTTCTACACACAGTCTGATGTCGTTTTACTGCCCAGATTACAGGATTACTGTCTTCAAAGCGACAAAGCGTCTCCACTGTGGCATAGCGATCCACTGACCAGCTCTCCAGCCTCAACCACACACCACCTGCACGTGGCTCTTTGCTTTTACTTCACAGCGAGTCTCGAGAAACACTCTGCAGCTAAAAAAGGCGTCGCACCGACTCTCTGCACCACTGATCAGACTTCCTCTGTGCTCTCATGTCGGCTGCTGGACCTGGCAGTAAATAATGTATGTGGCGGTTTGGCCGGTCGATGCAGCGTACACCTGCTCTCCCCATAAACAGGATCTGGTATCACAGCTGTCTCCAAGGACGGCCTGTCAAGTGGAATCCAATACGGCCTCTTGCTCATTCTTTAATGAGGCAAACTGTCTGTGTGTGTTTCAGTCAGGATGCATGAAGTGACAACGTGGAGCCAACAATGAAGCTTTAAGGTGGAATAAAGTGTTTCTAGCTTTAGCTTCGCTGATTAGCACGGACAGCAGATGCTGATCATGTGCTTTGCGTTGGTGAGTCTTTGATGTTGTACTTCGGCGGCTCCCAGAGGGAAAAACAAAATGTAGATTTCAAACATTTCAAATGCAGGGAAAAGGACTGGACAGGCAAGAAACGGGGGAACCCATCTGTTAGGATGGCGTCGGCACGACTAAATCAGAATCCTCCGACAGGTCAGAGTGCGTGAGTTTGATGCCTTTCCTTAGCATGACGTAGAAACCGCAGTGAGCTGAAAATGATTTACTATTTTTAAAAATGGAACGAGGCGGCTTCTTTTTTTGTGTTGTCATTCTCAAACACGGGAAGTGTTTGGTGTCTGACGGAGTGATGGCATTCAATCGATCAGATCACTTTTACAGACATCAGAGTGACGCAGCAGGACCCTGAACACGTGCAACACTCATCAAATGTGTGACAGTGAACAGAACATGTCGTAATATTTAATGTATAAATATGCACCAATACACAAAAGATCTAAATCTGCTAATAAACAGTGACTCAGTATGTGTCAGAGATTAAGAAAAGTACAAAGTGTGACTCGTTATCAGATCCTGACTGATCCTGTCTCCATGTTGGGGATCATTTACAATCATAAATAATTAATGAAGCAGCGCTCTCGCTTTGGAGACGCTCATGTGGATGTCTGAGGCTGCAGGTATTTAATAAACTCAGAGGAAAAACTCCTACAAACAGCTGGAAGCAACAAGCTCCACTGCATGCTTCATCAAAACCTGTAGTAATATGCGTGTTATTAATCTGTTAATGAATTTGTCTTTGCTGACATTTCAGTTTGATAAGATGTGAAATCGTAGAGGACAGCGAATGAGAAAGCTGGTTCGTGTGTCTTTGGTGCCGTGGATCAATACTGGATCAATATTAAATCACCACAAATCACTTTGCACAACTTGAAGTGTGCAGCTTGAGTGTGATTATCTGTTTAAACAGAAGACAGTAACCTCCTCTGGTCCACTGGAAGGCAGCAGCTGATCCCTACATGGTTAGAAGTTCAGGTCTGGGCTGAATCTCTTCATGTTCTGCTGCCAAACCTCCTGCACTTGTTGTGTAGCTGCAACTATGACAGGCACAAGTTTTGAGCTGCATACGGATGTTCATGCAAACTGTCCCGGCCTGAAGATGCAGATGATGACATGAACGCCATGCAGCCCTCCAGCGGGCTGTCATGGAGCCGTTGCGTAACACGTATCACTAAAGTATTCGTCATACTTTGAGACAACATCTTGGGGAAGGAAGCTTTCGTTCTGTTGCAGCATGACGGTCCATCTGTGCCCCACGTTTGACCCGACATCAGAGGCCGACCTCCCCAAATGGAAGCACATCTCTACAGCCGGTTTCCTAAATGTGGTGGGAACTGTTCCCTGGAGAGTCGAGGCTGGTGCAGCAGCTCAGTCGTACTAAAGGCTCGACAACGTGGAAGGTCTGCGTGTCCACATACTTTTGGCCGTGTTGCTCTCTGGACGTTGTCGCTGGTGTCACTCACTAAACCGGCTCTTGGGCAAAGTTTGCACATAAAAAGTCAACTGTTCCCAACAAACTAACATCACAGCCGGGTGATGTTTAACAGCGTAATCGTGACCGACGGGGGGACGGGACTTTGGCTTTGATGCCACAGAGGTTCAGTTGAAAGAGGGCTGATAACGGGCACCAGGGGACGTACAGATGAAAGCGTGAGAAGAGGAGCAGAGAGAAAGATAGGAAGGAAGGGGTCCACTCAAAAAAACAATGGTTATCTTTAAATAAAGCTTCAGAAGACGTATTTACGACCCCCCGTTTGGAGGAGCGACTTGTGCGGGATTGAAAATAAGGCCGTCGGGGGTGTGTGTGTTTGTTCAAAGGCAAAGCTTTGTGGCACAGCGGAAGCACGACGACGTGGATGTATTTAAGGAATGGTTGTTGTTTGAGATCGGGGGGTGAAACCGGAGCGCCGGCTTCCTGCCCGGTGCTTTTCCAGCTCCGTCCCGTAGCTGACGTCGGTGTTCGGGAGGAGAAGTTGACGCAGCTTTAACTTGTGATGGAAGGAGAGGGGAAGAAAAATAGCTTCGCAACACGACAGCATGTCCTGCTTCCTGTGTTTGTCTCCACTTATTATGTGCTTCCTGCATGCAGCCGGGGGCGGGGGGCGGGTAGGGGGGCAACAAGAGAAAGGAGAGCTTAGGGCACAAAGAGAAGATCTCATCTCGCAAAGAACATAAACAGAGGCTGACATTTGGTAACAACAATGGATCACTTGGGAAAAATCAACACTGGTTTGGACAAAACTTCTTCACAGAGATTCATGAGCAGCAGCTTCACAGCCTTTTTTCTTTTCATTAGGAATCAGTTCATGCCACCCACCACCATCATCAGGATCCTGATCCAGCAGCTAAACTCAAAATTACACACTCCTATTGAAAAGTTCCTCCCACAGAAGAGGCTGGGTTCTCTGACC